AAAAAAAAAAAAAAATCAACTCCTGCTTTAACTTACAATTTACCTTTAGGAAGTGGAAATGAAAGCTCTTACATAATCAAAGATTCCTATCACCTAAGTTGTCATTTGAGTTTTTTTCTCACTTTAGGTGAACTACTGGATACTCAGGTATAGATAAGTGATAAAGAAATCAAAATCTTGAGCCCTTGCTATCTCTCTCAAACTTTACAACACTAAAACAGGATTAATAATTATTAGTGCTACTATGACTAGCAGTCTTTACTATGTGTTATTTGAATTAAAACTTATAAACTAATACTATTTTTTAAATGGTGATTCCATTACATTTTGACAATAACAAAGGTATGAAGAAGCATTATTTTGATCAGTACTATAAATTTTAAACAATCAACACCTCAAATAAAAGATACTTTTTTGTAGAGGAGCAAATGTGAAGCGTCACTCGTTCTGAGACTTCCTCATCTGTGAAACTCCATAGTCTCTTTTTATTCATTGACTTTTCAACAGCAAAGACTAGCTGAAAGAGAGAACCACATAAATCAACTGAATGAAAAAGAAAGAGTTCAGGAAAAAGACAATATAATGGACCTAAATTCCTCAACTAATTTATTATGGGCCTAAATCCCTCAACAAGTTTTAAAATGCCTATGACTGTATTATTTTTTTTTCTTCCTCAAAAGAATAAATGGAATTGGTTATTGACTATTCGGATTCTATTTGAAGAATATATAAAAAAAAGCTTTCATAGCAAAACATAATCTACTGTCATTAACAACAAATTTGACAAGGAAAATTTAATGAAGTTTAGAACAATTATTTAATTTTCTTTAGAATGAGAAATAATAATTGATATTATGTACAAAAATGAAGCATATCTACAATTTTATAATTTATTAATTGCATGTTATAAAGAAGTAAAGACAATATAAAGATACATAAAACAGAGTAATAAGTGAAATATAAAAAAAAAATTTAAAGTATCAGTTTTTACCAGAAAAAAAGAAATGAATATCAGGATGAAGGGTCAAAACTTGACAGTAAGTATTATAACAAAGGAAGAAGATTAGAAGAGACTTAACTTTTGATTATGATACGCAAAACAAATTTCTTCTAGAGGCACTAAATTATGCAATATTATGATCAAAGTTCTTAACAGTAAACTTGTAAGACATGCCAACAGGTTTTATAAGGTTATTTCTTTTTTCCTCCTTACCCCCCACCCCAGTTCACTTTTCTCTTTGGAAAATAATTCTTTCATTGTTGTACAATACTCCTAACCCAGTCCACTTGACTATGCAGCTCTTATTCTGGAATGTTGTCTGCAAATAAGACCTAATCATGTATTTCTTTTAAGTAGTTCTCTCCCTCAATCTGCATTATGCAGATGACACAACCCTGCTCGCTGAAACTGAGGAGGACCTCATGCACATACTGCAAAGCTGAAGGACTGCAGCCTTCAGTGTGGACTGAGGCTCAATGTCAAGAAGACAAAGATTCTCACCACTGGAACAATTGGTAGCATCAGGATGGATGGCAAGGAGATTGAGATTGTTCACAGCTTCAGTTTGCTCGGCTCCATGGTCAACACTCTTGGCACCAGCAGCCAGGAAAGCAAAAAAATGTACTGTGATGGGAAAGTCTGCTGTTAGGGACCTCTCTAAAGTACTCAAGAGCAATGGTGTCTCTCTGGAGACTAAGGTCCGCCAGATACAGGCCATGGTTTTTGCAATCACTTGTTATGCATCAGAGAGTTGGACAATGACTAGGGAGGATAGAAGGAGAATTGACACCTTTGTTTGAGCTGTGGTGCTGGAGAAGAGTACTGAGTGTACCATGGTCTGCCAAGAAAACAAACAGATTCATCCTAGAGAGGGTTAAACCAGGCTACTCCTTGGAGGCAAGGATTCTGGGGCTTCGTCTGAAATACTTTAGACATGTTGTAAGGAGAGACAGGTCCTTGGAGAGGGACATCATGCTTGGGAGGGTGGAGGGACAGCGCAGGAGGGGAAGACCCTCTAT